AAAAAAAAAACTTTATGGAGAAAATTATGACATTTTTCCTAAAGACAAAATTACAAGTCTACATAAAGAGATGATGACTGTACATAATATATAAAGAAACCCAACATAAAATGGGCAATTCTCCTTAAAGTAGTCTATTAATTCAATGCACTGAAGAAATTCATTAAATTTCCAACAAGATTTTCATAGAACTTGACAAATTTGTTCTAATAGAAATAAGAGAAAGCTAAGAATTCTCATAATTTTTGCAGAATAATAATAAGGGTGCTTATTTCTTGATAACAAGACTTATCTTAAGGTTATAATAATTAACATAATGTTTTTTGACTAAGAGCTGCTGGACATTCCAATCACTTTACAGAGACTAACTCTCACATTAATTTTATGAATATCTTTATTTTTCCTACTTTTCCATTTATAGATGAGAAAACAGAAGTGCGTGTTGTAGTGAAATAGGGACAAAGAGACCAATGAAAGAGAATAGGAAAAAAATAAAGCTGTGGGCTTACTTATAAGTTATTAAGATGTACATATTTTGTCAAAATTTGCTGTGTTCATTCTATTTAAAAAATGCTTTTTATCTTTAATAATAAAATTACATCTCATTCAAAAAACTTTAGGAATTTTTGTTACTTGGAGCCACAGCCATTGAGGATCACCTTCAAGCTCGAGTTCCAGAAACGATAACAACTTTACTGAAAGCAAATATAAGAATATGGGTCTTAACAGGAGATAAAATAGAAACTGCAATTAACATAGGTAATAGATACAAGGAAAATGTTTTTAAAAATCTGTTTGTACATGTATTCTAAACATGGTTAGCACAGTCTTCTTGAAAAATGTTGATTTTTTTTCCTATCCATAAACAAGGGCTATCTTCACATTTCTTTGTGTCTTTTGTCTTTCAAAGAATTCTATAGTTTTCCTGGTACAGGTCTTTTACCTACTTATTTATTATTTTTTTGGTGAGGTTTTAAATGGGATGGTTTTCTTAATTCCTCTAATTCTTTATTTCTATATAGAAGGTTACTGATTTTTGTCCTGTCACTTTGTTGAAGTGGTTTATTTAATGTGGAATCTTTAGGGTTCTCACTGTATACTATCACATAATTTGCAAATGATGGTAGCTACTTCTTTTTCAATTTAGATTCCTTGATTGCTGTCTCTTGCCTAATTGCTCTAGATAAGACTTCTACGATTATGTTGAATAGTAGTGATAAGAGTGGACATTCTTGTCTTTTACCGGATATTAGTGGAAAGGCTTTCAGGTTTTCACCATTGAGAAGGATACTAGCTGTGGGTTTGTAATATATTGCTTTTAGTATGTTAAGGTAAGGTCCACTCATCCACATTTTTCATCACAAATGGATGCTAAATCTCATCAAATACTTTCTCATCATCTATTGATATGATTACGGGCTTTTCACTTTTCTTTTTGCTGATGTGGTGAATTACATTGTTGACCTTTAGATGCTGAACCATCTTTATGTTCCTGGTATAAATCTTACTTAGTTATGGCATTTAATCTTTTTAATGCATTGTTGGATTCAGTTTGTTAAGTTTTTTGAGGATTTTGTGTCTGTATTAATTAGTGAGATTGGTCTATAATTTTCTTTCCTTGTTGTTTGGTTTTAGAATTAGCATAATGTTGGTCCTCTAAAATGTGTTTGGAAGAATTTCTTCTTTCTTGATTTTTCTGAGAATCTGAGCAGGATAGATATTGGTTTGTTTCTAATAGTTTTGTAGAATTCACTTATAAAGTCATCTGGTTCTGGACTTTTGTTTTTTGGGAAAGCTTGATTACTGCTTTAATTTTCTTGTTTGTGTTTGGCTTGTTCAGGCCTGTTTCTTTCTTCTTTAGTGTGATGACTGTAAAATTCTAGCAATCGGTCTCTCTCATGGAGGTTAGTGAATGAGTGTGCATATAAGTAATCTAGCCATTTCTTACTATCTTCTGAATCTGCAGTGTCTATAGTAACTTTTATTTTGATCCTTCTTGAGTCTTCCCTATTTTTTTCTTAGTGAGCTTAGTTTAAAGTTTGTCGATTTTGTATACTTTTTCTAAGAATCAACTTTCGGTTTCATTGACCTTTTGAACTTTTAAAATTCTTTTTCATTTTATTTCTGCTCTAATTTTTATTATTTCCATTCTTCTATTTGCTTTCAGATTTTCTAGTTTGTTTCTTTTTCTAATTCTTTGAGATGAGAGACATGGTTATTTGTGCTCTTCTAATTTCTTAACATCGGTCTGAATTGCTATATACTTCCTCTTAGAAATACCTGTATTTGGTTTGTTTCATTAACCTGGGGCAGGTTAATCTTGCATTAAAAAAAAAAAAGAATTCTTGTTCACAATGGAATAGTAATCAGTGACCAAAAAAGATAAACTCATGTTATTTTTCCACGAGACGGATGGTACTAGAAAGACTATTCTAAGTGAAGTGAGTTAGAAGAAGGAAGATAAATACCAGATGGTTTTACTTATATGTGGTATCTAGCAAGACCAAGCAAAGGATCATGGTGAGAGTATGGTGGAGGACTGTGGGGACCTTGGTAGTGGGAAAACTATGGTGACCACAATTGAGTTGAGAAATTCTATATTGTTAAAAAAAAACAAAACAGTAAATTTTTAAAGAAATATGTTGCCTTAATATTTAAATTGAGAATTAAAATTCTCAAATTGAAGTTGTAAAATGTGTTTTGAGGTGTATGCCCTTATTGCACCATTTAAAGAATGGCAGGCATTCATTTCTTTTAATCAAACTTAGGCTCTTATTAATATACTAGATAAAGTATTGTTGGTATAGTGGTTTAATATAACCTGACTATCCCTCCTCAAATACCTACATTCACTATAAAGCATTAACCTATATTCATGTCATACCAAGATAATAGAAATAAAAATTCACAGAAATTTAAAGTTACATATTTAGCCATTAGTTAGCTATACGTACCTTCCAAACCATTTCTGTTATCTATTAAGTTGAAAATGATCCAATTTCTTATTCCTCTACAATCTCTTGTCAGTTTTTGTTATGACCTCCTGGTTTATAAACAGCTTTGAGACTGATAATATGATGAAAGAATATAAACTATTTTTTTAAATTAGCCCCTGAATGGCATTGTCTTCAAGTATGTATCATTTTTCTTATTCTTTGTAGCATATTCCTGCAAACTGATATCAGGTGAAATGCCTCGTATTCAATTGAATACAAATTCATTTGAGGTAAGTAATTTTAAAAAGTCATGTTTAATGTAAGTGTAGTCCACTTGTTAATTTAGGCTGATCTTACTCCTTAGAATCTACATACAATTGCCTTGAACTCCCACTTAAGTTCACTAGAGTGTCCAGGTATCCTGCAAACTTCTTAAGAATCTGAACGTTCTACTGGTCTTTTGTTCTAGATTTCTATTTAATGTTAATCCTTAATCACCCGCCCTCCCCCCACCAATATTGTACCAAACCCAGGAATCATTTCCTTGATATTAGAAGTATAAAAAAAGAACAAATCTCTCTTGTTCTTATAAGTTAAATGGCTATAGTTAATTCTATTAAATTTTAATAATGCAAAAGAACAAATCTGCAGTTTTATATCATTGCCCATAAAAGTTAATGACTACAGTAAAAATATGTAAAATAAACAAATAAAGGAATTAACTATCATTATTCTTAGGAAAGGTTCTCATGTTTTCAGGTCTTAAGTGACAGCTCTTAAATAAGGGTCAGTGGTTTTGGATCTACCTTTTCACTTATATTTAAATTAGAAAAAAAAATTACCCCCCTGTGTTTTAGGCAACACAACAAGCAATTAATCAGAACTGCCAAGATCTTGGAAGCTTGTTAAATACAGAAAATGACCTTGCTCTAATCATTGATGGTGAAACATTGAAGTATGCCCTCCATTGTGAAATTATGAAGCAATTCCTCAATTTGGCCCTCTCATGCAGAACAGTATTATGTTGTAGGTAAGAATACATTCCCTGTTCATTTTCCTATACATTTTCCATATATGTTTACAAATACATGGCATGTACTTATATAAATTATGTCTAATGTATGTTATCCGCTCTATGGACATCAAAATACAAGATTTTACAAGGGTAAGAGTTCCTTCTTAGGAAAACATGTGCTTTTAGCTTCAATAAAAGGTCTTAATTTAATTAATATCATTATGTTTAAGATTTACTAGAAAGCACCCAAAAATAGATGACTGGATTAAAAAGATGTGGTACATATACACAATGGAATATTACTCCACAACCAAAAAAAAAAAGAAACGCATGTCTTTTGCAGCAACTTGAATGGAGCTGGAAAAGATCATGCTTAGTGAGAAAAGCCAGAAAGAAAAAGAAAAATACCGGATGGTTTCGCTCATAGCAGGAGTATAATGGACCAGGAGAGGAAATAATAATAATAATGAACAGCCATATACCGGAGACATTTTGTGGGGGTGGAGTGGGGAATGGGATCAAAAACGGGGTGGAGGGAGGGAAGTGCACTGGACTATGGTCATGGCACATGGGTGCCTTGGTGATGGGAGACCCATGGGGATTACAATTGATAGGGAAAAAAAATGTACAAAATGATGTAAAAATAAACTAATATATTATAAAAAAAAGATTTACTAGAAAGCAATTTTTCAATGGTAAAATATTTATCAGTGTATTTACTAGAAGAAAGAAGTCTTCAGTAGAGACAAAGTTTCTCAGCTTATTTACAGTGAGGGGAATCTAAAAAACAAAAGATGAACTCTTGGGCATTTTCAACAACATGGTAGAAACCGAAGGGGATTACGGTAAGTGAAATAAGTCAGGAAGAGAAAGACAAATACGAGATGGTTTCACTTATATATGGAATATACAACATCAAAATAAAAGGTCATATAAAGCTAAGTCAATAACAAAACCTAGAAATAGGACTGTAAAACTGAGGCTACAGAGAGGGTGCTGGGGGCAACAAAGTCGGAAGAGGGGGCTCATAGAGTATGCTGGAAGACTATGGGTGATATACCCTGAGGTGGGGGGGGTGTGGTAACATATACCTGAAGAGGGTCACTTGATATATCTAAATTACATACAATGATAAACCAATGTTATTTCAATAGAAAGAATAATGATGTTTATAATACAAGAAATTCAATCCAAAGTTATTTTAGTGGAAATTATAAGAATGTATTATATTAATATGTTCTCAAGGATTAATTGCTAATCTACTTGTATAGAATGACCTTTGGCACTCATTACATCAGAATCATTGAGTCAAAATAGTGGCTTCCCACGAATTTCTCTTTCAAATAAAATCTACTTTTTTTTCTTGTTTTATTCCTTTCAAGTCAGACTCCTGTTTACTTAAGGACTCTACTATTTTATTAAAAATATTAAAATGTTGGTAAATTAAATATAAGGCTTTTAAAATAAAAAACTCAGAAATTAATTCTATCTTTCTATAAATTTATGTAATAAAGCCAGGAAATATATTTAGTTCCTAATACTATGTATTTAAAGTCCAAATATTTTCTCTGGTCCAGGGAATTTCTCTAATTTGAATGAACTGTTTTTTTTATTTTCCCTTCATTGTACTAATTTGAAAATAATAAAAAAAAAACCTCTTTGACTCTGAGAAAAATATAGTGTTTACCAAAGGGGAAGGAAAACGTAGGACAAATGGGTAAAAGAATCAGTTTGATAGTGATAAGTGACACTACAATTTTGGTGGTGGGTGTGGTGTGGTATATACACAGCTTGAAGTATGAAACTAAACCCCAGAAATTTATATAGTATTGTAGCAAGTCAATAAAATATATTGCTTGTTTGTTATGACTATAGGATAACCTAGACTTTCCTTACTGGTAACTTCATGTTTTTATATCTCCTTTTATTTTTAAAGTTTACGTGACTATAGTTTGATTTTCAAAGGCAACTCTATAGTCCATATTTTGGGTAAATGTTTTCATTTGGCTTCAGAATTAATAGGTGTTCACCTCCTCTTCTCATTTAGATAGTGCATATTCATAAATCAAGTCAGTGATGGACCACAGGGAATAGTGAGGAAAATGGACAATCCCAGTTATGTCTCCTGGTAAACTGGGTAGATACGTGTTTCCTTTGGATGTTAAAGAAACTACTGTATTTTTTTTGTTTTTGTTTTTGGTGAGTTATGAATGGGAATTTCTTTATATATGTGTAAAGCTTAAAGAATTGAGAAATTTACTAGTAATGACCATTGAATATGGCTGCGTAGATTATTATTGACCCTTTTGTATGAAGTAAAACTAACCAGAACATAAAAAATAGTTGTTTCTGTCCTTGCTCAGGTTATCTCCCCTCCAAAAGGCTGAAATAGTGGATTTGGTTAAGACACATGTGAGGGCCATCACTCTTGCTGTTGGGGATGGTGCCAACGATGTTGGAATGATCCAGACAGCCCACGTAGGCGTGGGAATCAGTGGGAATGAGGGCATGCATGCGAGCAACAACTCAGATTACTCCATTGCACAGGTGAGTAGCATGGTTTACAAGTTGAGTTGGAGAGCACTGAATACTTTTGGACTACTTCTGAAGTCTACCTCACATCTTGAAGCTGCTTTCCATATTAAACTACCAATCCATCTGAAGTCCTAATCACTTTTGTCCACATATTCTTTGCATACCCTGACTTGGAATGGAGTTGGTAA